GCTCCTCTGCAGCCACGGCAGCTGTCTCGGTCCCCGCTGCGTGGCTTCATTCGAAAGTTGTCTGGAAGGAGGTCTAGAAGGACATCTGGTCTAATTAGCATATTATGCTTTTATTATTATAGATGCTACTGCCTCATAAATGACTACCTTCCCTAATTTAAAGTTTACTAAACAAATACATTATTTTCTCAAGGAGTATGATATATTCCAACATTATTTTAGATATAAAAGTGGGTATTTAAAAGTTTTTGAATATTAAAGGTTCACATAACTTTTTGGGATCTAAGTTTCTACAACTTCTCAAACTGACACCTAGTTTTATCAGGTTTCTCCAACTTAGTTTTTTAGCTAGAATTTGACATAGGCTTTATGGAATTGTAGAATATCTGATTATGATTAAAAAATTAGATGGGGAGGAAGCGCATGTTAAATAAAACAATGATAACTTTGGTGACTTGCATATAAAAATAAAGCTCAACAGGGAGTCGGCAACTGAGGAAGGAGATCCCTGACTTTCAATGTGGACATGAGCCATGGTACCAGGTCCGGTCTCTTCTCCAAGGTCCCCAAGCAAATGACCTCACTGTCCACAGTTCACCTTGGTCACTGGGTTCAAATGTCTTGTTTGCAAAATCCACTGAAACGTTTTGGAAAATAGATACATATTTAAAAGAATGAGGAACCAATTAAGCTTGAAAAATATTGTAACTAAAGTCATTTAATTTTGTTTGGGTATTTTGATCTTTATACCTAAAGATTTGTTCCTGTTTTTTAATACACTGAGTTTACCACAGGTTTTTGAAGATTAAGTTAGAAAATAGATTGCAGTTCATAAACTTTGGGTTTGAACAATTTTGCAAAAGAAAACCGATTAAATGTGTTAACTACATTGCCAACTTGTTTACAGAGTAATTATTTAGTTATCACTATAAAATAATTTTTATAAGACATTAAAAATGAAATATTTTTAAAGGAAATCAGTATTGTTAACTATTACATATTGTAAATTGTCAGAACCAGATTACGCTTTTAAAAAAGGAAACACAACATACCAATTATAAGTCCTGTATATGCACTATATTTATATGCTTTCATTTCTGCATCCTTTTATTGGACTAGTTTTATTATATTTCAAAATGAAAATAGATTTCTCTTGCCAATTTAAACAATCCAACAGTTTCAGAATAAAATCCCAAGGGCAGACTAGCAGGCAAATTGGTAGCAAAATATGGCCACAACTCATAATAATATAGGATAAGATGCAGCTATATTTGCTGAAAACTTTTCAGTAATGTAAATTGCATAAATTTTGGTTGGATGGGATTTCTGAATGGTAGGAACTTTGGGATTTTGCAGAGCAAGTAATGTAGTTCTGACACGGTTTTTACTTCCAGGAATACATTTAAGAATTTCATTGAAGTAAAGCTTAAGCGCAGTTTAATGTCCTCTGCACTGTTCCGTGGGTAAAGGAGCTGTTAGACCACTCACTTCCTCCACCAGGACTGGTTAGTAATGGGTTGCTATCGCAGGGGTGCATATCCTCCATGAGCAGGGATGGTGTGCAAATCTTTTCCGTTTTCCAGTAACCTATGGTAGTGCAAGATGAGGTTAGGACAATGCTACATGTTTGGGTTAATTCAAGCTTACAAAAGCATAAATCATTAACCTAACCAAGAAGCTGACCAGTTAGCCTTGCACATAGAATAAACATAATGGCATGAAAGTTAAAATTTAAAAGTACAACGTAATTAGAAATATCTGTGAATATTAATGTTGCTTAATAAAACATAACCAAGATTAATAAAATCTAAAATTATTTTAAGTTGGATTTCAACATGTTGATTTCTGGACTTTTTCTCCCTCGTAAGGTTGATCATCTTACCCTTTCTTTTCAGGTATTCTGCAATGAGGGCGGCTATATGGATGTAGCACATAGCAGCCTGTAATAAAACAGAAACAGTGTCAAAGGAGGATGCAGCACCCATTTTACTATTTGTCTAATTAGGACTAATGTCATGTCAGAATGTGTAGAGGAATCTTTTAAGTAAGAGAATTAAAGGTAATCAATTACATTTCTAAAAAAATTCACAATAAAAAATAAAATACATACTTGGGATTGTCTTTCTTGATGTAATTCTCAGGAAGTGCTGGCCTGAGGAATTTTCCCAAAGATTTATCTCCCTTAATATCTAAATTTCTCTCTCTCTTAGTATATACAGGGTTGGGCAAAACTAGTTTGAGGTTGTTCATAAGGAAAAAGACATGCAGGTTATGATTATTACAATAGCTGAATAAACTCTGTATTTCACGTACTCAAAACTACAAACCTATTTTTGCCCACCTGTATGTATGTATGTATGTATGTATTTATATATTTCCACAATTCTCTTTTCTTGTGAAAACTATTAGCATCTGGATCTAAACTGGAAAGGCAAATGCTGCCTTCTTACCTTTTCTACCTCCAGGATAGGTCCTCACTCGAATATCTGTTGCCTTTCAAGTGGTCGCCTCGCTTGGTTAAATAGTGTGACCTAATGTGTCACGTGTGCTCCCTCCACCAGATGACATGGGCAACATTCTATTCTTCTCCAACATATCCGGTCAAGCCTTGAACATTGCTGGACACCTACCAGAACTTGACAGGTTGAAGGGTCCAAATGACTTTAGCTTTTCCCTTTGAAGTTTTATAGAGGAACGTTTCCATTTTTATGGCAGTCCAAGGGAAATAGGGTTTCGCATTTTGTCCTCACCAAATAGCCACCAAGCAAGGCTTTGTTTCTATCCCAGAGTCCCTTGCAAGCATTGTTAGGGCTTTAGGCTTACCCTAGACAAATTATCTCTTCCCAAAGGATTCATATTTCTGGGAATAAGGCAGAACTTCCCCACTTGGTGTCCGGAAGCCATCTGCGTGCCGTGAATTGCTGCTCATAAATCCACCCATCATTTAAATTAATATAGAAATGTTCTATTGATTTATAACCTTCACACAATGGACTCTCTTCACTCATTTGTATCTCAGGAGTCTTAATTCTTACGTCACCAGTTCAGACTAGCTGCAAATGAGGACAGTTGACCCTAATCTGAATTTACTCACCATGCTGGCAAGCTTCCCCATCCAACTCCAATTACAGGAAAGAAGTTTTAAAACACAGACCATTAATTTATATAACTCTTAATTTCCAGACACCCTTACAGCCTCGGGTGTGTAGAATTCAGCTCTGCATTCATTGTATAGCCTATAATTACAGTTGTCCCTGCAGACTCTGGTCTTTATTTGATTCCTACATGTAAATTTAATGCACATAGCATATAGTTAAGCAATATTTAGATTAGTGGAAATATATGATAACTTTTTATATTCCT